TGTGACCACGGGTACGTACCTGTGTCCCTGACTGTACCTAGGTACATTCACCGTGCGATCGATGAGTGCCATCGACGAGTGTGATATCATGCCGCAGCTGTGCAAGCCTGGTACCTGCCACGACACGCCCACCGGCTTCACTTGCGGCTGCGACCATGGGTACGTATCTGTGTCCCTGCCTACACCTAGGTACATGCTCCGAGCAAGCGCTGCCGTCACCAACGAGACCAAGCCCATCAACGAGTGCGACATCATGCCGCAGCTGTGCAAGCCTGGCACCTGCCACGACACTCCCACTGGATTCACTTGCGGCTGTGACCATGGGTACGTCCCTGCTTCCTTGATACACCTAGGTACATGCTCCGTGCGAGCGCTGTCCGGCGCCGAGCGAGCCCGCCTACGCCGCGCGCCCCGGCCTCTACCGCAACCCCGTCACCAACGAAACCAAGCCCATCAACGAGTGTGACATCATGCCGCAGCTGTGCAAGCCTGGCACCTGCCACGATACTCCCACCGGCTTCACCTGCGGCTGCGACCATGGGTAGGTACGTCCTTACTTCGCTGATACTCTTAGGTACATGCTCCGTGCGAGCGCTGTCCGGCGCCCAGCGAGCCCGCCTACGCCGCGCTGTGCGGCGCGCGGCCCGGCCTCTACCGCAACCCCGTCACCAACGAGACCAAGCCCATCAACGAGTGCGACATCATGCCGCAGCTCCGTGCGAGCGCTGTCCGGCGCCCAGCGAGCCCGCCTACGCCGCGCTGTGCGGCGCGCGGCCCGGCCTCTACCGCAACCCCGTCACCAACGAGACCAAGCCCATCAACGAGTGCGACATCATGCCGCAGCTCTGCAAGCCCGGTACCTGCCACGACACGCCTACTGGGTTCACTTGCGGCTGCGACCACGGGTACGTACCTGCTACCCTGATACACCTAGGTACATGCTCCGAGCAAGCGCTGCCGTCACCAACGAGATCAAGCCCATCAACGAGTGCGACATCATGCCGCAGCTCTGCAAGCCTGGTACCTGCCACGACACGCCTACTGGGTTCACTTGCGGCTGTGACCACGGGTACGTACCTGTGTCCCTGCCTACACCTAGGTACATGCTCCGAGCGAGCGCTGCCGTCACCAACGAGACCAAGCCCATCAACGAGTGTGACATCATGCCGCAGCTGTGCAAGCCTGGCACCTGCCACGATACTCCCACCGGCTTCACTTGCGGCTGCGACCATGGGTACGTCCCTGCTTCCCTGATACACCTAGGTACATTCACCGTGCGAGCGCTGTCCGGCGCCGAGTGAGCCCGCCTACCGCCGGCCTCTACCGCAACCCCGTCACCAACGAGACCAAGCCCATCAACGAGTGCGACATCATGCCGCAGCTCTGCAAGCCCGGCACCTGCCACGACACACCCACTGGATTCACTTGCGGCTGCGACCACGGGTACGTACCCGTACCACAATCACACATAATATAGCTGGGGTGTAGAAACCGGGTTGCGCTTAGACACGAAACAAAACACAATTCCCCCTCCCCCTCTGGCCCCCTCTTTCCCCTGCATCCCATCCATAGTTAAGATTCTGGACGCTAGAAGAGCAGCAGTTTGAACGAGGGAGATGAACACTAAGCTTAATTTGGAAAGAGGATGTGATGCTATTATCTGGTTGTGCTAGTGTTTACGGAGGAAGAAGCTTCTAGATGCATTTTAGGGCTGACTTTGTTTAAATAAGGAACTAACTTGTTGCAGCTACGAGCACGACAACACGTCGCACTTGTGCCGCGACGTCGACGAATGTGCACTGGGCCGCGCGCGCTGCCGCGGACTGGCCCAGTGCGCCAACGTGCCGGGCTCGTACGAGTGCCGCTGCCCGCCCGGCTACCGCCTCACGCCCAGCCTCGACGAGTGCGAGGACGTCGACGAGTGCGACGACGAGCGCCTGTGCGAGCACGGTGACTGCAAGAACACGCTCGGCTCATACAGGTGCGAATCATCATCGTCATCATCTCAGCCACAGGACGTCCACTGCTGAACATAGGCCTCCCCCAATGCTTTCCATGCTGCCCGGTTGATAGCGGCCTGCGTCCAGCGCCTTCCTGCTACCTTTACGATGTCGTCGGTCTACCCTTGTGGGTGGACGTCCCACGCTGCCAATATAGCTGCGTTTTTTTTATCAGTTGAACCAATTCCATAGTACCTATGGTAAGATGCTACAGAAGATGCAGCTACGAGAAGATGTGACTTTTCGAAGATAACCAATAACATGTGGGATGTCCTGTGATGACAGTGTAGTGTTGTTGTCGTTGTAAATAAAATAAATAAAAAATGTTTCCCCAGATGTGACTGCCAGCCCGGCTACACGCTACGCGACAACGCGTGCCGTGACGTGGACGAGTGCGCGCGGCCGCGGCCCATGTGCCGCAATGGCACATGTGAAAACCTGCCCGGCTCCTACGCCTGTCACTGCGACGAGGGCTTCAAGCCCGGCCCTAACAACGACTGCATTGGTAAGACTCTCTTGTAATTTCACCAGAAGTCTGAATCTTCCGTGACTGATGCCAGATAATATGGCGTATATATTGAGAGTCGTTGGAATAGAAACTGGTTGACAGTCAGTCGTTCTTTCGTGATTTTTTTCTCAACTCTGGTCTTAATACTTGTCCCCAAGCTATTGATTTAAAGGAGCTGTTTTCAAGAATCTCTCGTTGGGATTATGGCAGTTAGTTATAGATATTTAGATTCCACCTTCCACTCTGTATGACGTTGCAGACATCAACGAGTGCCGCGAAGGAGGCATGGTGTGCCGCAACGGCCGCTGCCGCAACACAGTCGGCTCGTTCCGCTGCGAGTGCGCG